CCCTCGACTTGCGCTCCTTCTCCTCGCGGTCCCGCCTCTCCGCCTTGCCCTTCTCCTCCTTCTCGCGGCGCTTCCTCTCGCGCTCCGCCTCCTTCTCCTTCTCCTCCGCCAGCCGCTTCCGCCGCTCCTCCTCCTTCCTCGCCTTCTCCTCTTCCTGCGCCTTGCGTGCAGTCTCGCGCCTAACGCGCTCCTCCTCGCGGCGCTTGCGCTGCTCCTCCTCCGCAGCCGCCTGCTTCGCCTTAGCAGCAGCCTCCTCCGCAGCCTTCTCAGCAGCGCGCTGGGCCTCCTTCTCCTCCTTCGCCTGCTTTTGTTGCCTGCAAGCGCATCAGTACAAGTCTCTAGGATCCCCACCGTCGGAGTAGTGCATCATTCCTCCCTCCCCGGAGGGCATTCCGTCTCCCTCGAGCACACTCTGTCCAAAATCAAGACAAAGACGAAACTCCACTCACCGCTTCTTATCCTTCTTCTTCTGGTTCTGGCTCTGCTTCTTCATCTCCTTCTCGCGCTCGCGCTCGTCCTCGTCCTCGAGCTCGCGCAGCAGCTGCAGCTGCCGGTCCTGTGCCACGCGCTCGCGGTACGCCTGCAGCATCGGCCACGGTGCAGCGCATTCGGGGAGGGAGAACCGAGCGAGGTTGAGGAGTAGGCAAATCAGCCGCGGGCGGGGAAGCGAGTACATAGTTTCGTGGGGCGTGTGCGATTGCGCAAAGCGAAGAGTCGAGTCGATCGCGTTCGAGTGCGAGATCGCGTGCGCGTCGGCGGATCGAGTGTGGAGGGACGGGAAATGAGAAATGAAATCAACGAAACAATCAGCAGCGTTTCCACGGAGCAGAAGGATACACGCACCTTCAAGACACGCTGCTCGAACATCCTCGCGGCGAAGATGCTGAACATGCGCTTGCCCTCCTCCATTTTTTGTTCCTCCGTCATCGCCTGGTGGGTACACATCAGAATAAAAAGAAAGCGGAAGCACGATGAGAACGGAGCGGATACACACCTCCTCGCCCCCCTCGTCGTCCTCCTCGTCCTCCTCCCCGCTCTCTCCGTCGTCGTCACTGCGCAAAAAAGAAAAAAAATGTCAGCGGGTGTTCCTCCACAGGCCATGGTAATAGACCGCGCAACTCACCCACTATCCCCGCTCTCCCCCTCCTCGTCCTCCTCGCTCTCGTCCTCGCCCTCCCCGTCCGACGAGCCTTCGCCGTCCCCATCGAGCGACGAGGACGAGTCGTCCTACACTCGGTGTTAGCGGTTACGTCTCAAGACCAAAAGGGAGCGCAGGAAAGAGCCCCAAAACGCACCTCGTCCCCACTAACACCCCCCGCGGCCTCCTCTTCGCGGGCCAATCGCCGTTCGGCCTGGATGGAGATCAGGTTAATCAGCACTCAGCCGCGGTGCGAGAGGAACAAGTAGACTCGGAAATGTAATCATATGCGCGTCGAAAAAAAACAACGAAAGACCCCAGTGTGGGATCGGTGTCGGGCGAACCGAACGCGCCGCACGGCATCGAAGAAAAAACCACGCAAGAAAGGAAGCAAAAAAGAAAAGAAGCGGTGCGGTATGTCTGGAGAGCTCCCAAAAAACACCAAAGAGCGAAGAGAGAAGTAGAAACACCCACCAACTGCTCCATCATCTCCAAAAACTTGCGCCCGTCGTTCTTGAGCAGGTCGTCCGCGACGGTCAGGATCGAGGTCGGGCCTGCGAAAGTTGCGTTAGCGTCATACATCATACCATACCATACTACGGTTCGGGGCGGGGCGGGGCAAGGTGGAAGTGGGAAGCAGGGTGGAATGATATGAGATGAGAAGTCCGATTCGGGTAGGTAGAAGGCCCGCCTCCCGCCTCCCGCCGTGCGCACGAATCCATCGGTGCGGTAATACAATCCAATCCAATCCCGCCGCCCACGTGGCGGACTCGAAACGGGTGGATTGCACCCACACCACACCCAGGACCCGGCCGGATCGGACGGCAGACAGACGGACAGACAGACGGGAAAACGAAAACAAAGGAACAAAGAACGGGGGGCGAAGAACGAAGAACGAAAGACGAAGAATGAAAAATGAAGGCACGGATAGCCGGCCCATCCCGCCGATCAATCCCGCCCCTACGTGGCACGCCTCGTCGGATGGGTAGCACATGCGTGTCGTGTGCGCTCGCCCTCGGTTGAAAGCAACAAACGAAAAACCTCCCGGTCGAACAGAAAAACACCCAAACGAAAAAGACAAAAAGAACAAAGAACGCTCACCCCCAACCCCCGCGCCCACGGCGGCCGTAATCTTGCCCTTCATATCCACCGCGCCCCTCCCCCGCGCGTTGGCAGCCGGCGTTCCGTTGGCGGGCGCGCGGGGCGCGGGCTGGTTGGCCGCGGGGGCGGGGCGGGGGCGGCCTACATGTCATGCATAAGGTCAGCTCAGACAACACAAGCGGGAAAGACGTACCGTTGACGACCGGCGGCGCGAGCGGCAGCCGTCCCTCCTCGCCGTCCTCGCCCTCGCCCTCCTCCTCGTCCTCCAGCCCGTCCTCGCCCTCCTCCTCCTCCTCCTCGCCCTCCTCCCCCTCGTCCTCCAAGTCGTCGTCCGGCGGCTCCTCGTACAGATCGTCCTCGTCCTCCTCCTCGGTGCGGTTGTTCACCGCAGCGTTGGCGACGGGCGGTTTCCGCTGCTGCTGCCGCCTCCGCCCGCGCCTGCCCTTCTTCCCCGGGCCCGTCCCGCCCTTCGGATGGCCCGGGGTGTTTTGGTTGTTCGGATTGGGACTCTTGTGGTGGTTGGAGAGCAGCGCGGGCGGGGGGTAGCCCGCGACGACCGCGCCGTAGCGGTCGACCTCGACGCTGCCGGGGAAGGGCCCGGGGCCGGGCGGCGGGGGGAGGGTGCGGTTGGAGGAGAGGTACTGCTGCTGGTAGAGCGCGTACTGCTCGAGGTCCTCGTAGTACGCGTCGTAGAGCACCTGCAGCTCGTCCTCGATGGCGGTTCTGTGGCCGCGATCAGCGGATGTGCGCAGGGATGAAAGAAAACGGACCGTTTCCTGCCGCACACCGCACACGAGCAGCTGTGCTTCTGCTCCTCCTTCATCTTCCGCAGCACCGTGTCCTTCTCCACGCGCACGAGGTCGCGGCGCTCGTCCTCCGCCAGCGCGAGCCAGAAGTCGCGGATCCGCTCGCGCTCCTCGCTGCTGCTCGTGCTCCATATCTTGTTGTTGTTCGCGCTGCTGTTCGCGGCCGGCTGCTTGCCCTTGGCGGCTGCCGTGGCGGGGGCCGCGGCGGCGGGCTCAGGGGGATAGCCGCCCGCGGCGCTGACGGGGGCCTTGGCGGCGGCGCGGGCGCTGCGGGGCGGGGCGGGGGTGGCGCCGGCTGGCTGGTAGGCCATGGGCTTCTTGCCGATGGAGACGCTGGAGGGCGGCGGGGTGGGCGTGGGGGCCATCTTCGTCGCCTCCGAGTTACTACTAAATGCAATGGGTAGAGCTGTCTTGACGGCGAGGGACGACACTGAAAATTGGTCAGCACTTCCCGTTTCAACACTTGTAAATACATCCGCACCGGCTTTCGAAAATGAAGTTGAATTGGTAGTCTCCACCTCCCGGTCCACCGACGACGGTGCAAGCGCCGCCGCTGCCTCCCGCACGCGTGCCGCAAACGAAGGGTCCGTCCGCACCCGCCGCCAGTACTCCGAGTCGTCGTCGTCATCCCCGTCGTCACCAGCGGCCTCACCGCCCTCATCCTCCGACCCCCCGCCCAGCGACCGGTACAGCTCCTTCGCCGTCGCGAGCAGCTCGTTCGTCGCCGCCAGTGCCGCAGCCGTCAGCCCCGTGTCGCCTTCAATGTCCGCGTCCTTCGCTCGTGCCTCCTTCTGCTGTTTCTTCCTTCCCATCTCGCTTGTGCGTAATCTAAGCGGGCATGAGGGGATGTATCCTAGCACAACTGCACCGGCGACACACCTTCAAGTGCACACGCTTCGCTCTCACTAACCCTCTAACCCTCTTCTGCCCTCTTGGCCTCGAGCTTGCAACAGCGACGCCGACTTGGGATGTAGAGTAGCGTAGCGTATGACGTTGTACCAGGGCGATGTAGCAGCAACGAGAAACGATGGTTCGACGTTCACTTCAGGTCAGACGCGCCTTCGGACGCGTTCGGTCTTCGGCGTAAGCGATCAACAGCCTCGATGCCAAACTCGTGTCAAGTCCCGCAATCAGATAACGATTATCTTATCGGGATACACTCGTGGCGGCAGGAGATGGGTTAGGAAGGAAATTGGGTACAAAATTGGTTGAGGTAATAATGCACCGAATTGGATATGGGTAGGTAGGTGCCTGAAAAATGATAATGTGCAAAAAACCATTTGGCTCCCACCGAATGACCTGACCCCGATTCGAACGAGGATCTCCTGCCAATTATGCAAAGATCTCACACCTGCTGCTATGCATAGCAGGTGTGTTGCTATACACCACCAGGTCTTTCCTCCCCTCTTCTGCTCCCTAATACCTCAGTATGCTTTTTGTCCTGGTAGATCACTCGAATATTCAATGTCCAAAGGTACATCTCAATGCCACTCCGGCGGACCATCGAAAAATCAAGAAACCGACCCCCAGACTCGGGTACGTACTGGATACAGCTGCACACATCGAGAAAAAAGCGGATACACCACGGGCAGACCTCGTAAAAAAAAACACAATGCTCAGTGGAAATGACCTGACCCCGATTCGAACGGGGATCCCCTGCCAAATTATGCTCACTCCACAACTGTAACACGACTAACAGGTGTGTTGCCATCCACCACCGGGTCTTGTCACCCTACCCTGGTCCCTTGCTTTATCCCACACTTGTGCTGGCCTTTTTTTAGTACTCTCAATCAAACCTCGGCAGTTAAACCACACATACTGCCACATCGATGTTCCCTGCCTCGAACTTGGAACACCACAAAATCAAGGAAGTATCATATGAGACACAGCTATCCGAAGAAAAACACCCGCCGCCGGAACTTATAGAAAAAATTACGGAAGTATTGGTCTCGCCATGACCTGGCCCCGAGTCGAACGGGGTCCTCCTGCCGAATTACGGTGATGGGCATTACGTGCAACAGGTGTGTTACCATACACTACCAGGTCTTTTTATTCTTCTCTTGTCCCCCCTTATCCACCTGTCCAGAATCAAAGACTCCCAGGCTTCAATGCTGAAACAAATACATCGCCGCACTGGAGCCGGGTGACCAACAAATCGAGCAAATATCATCTGTCCTACAGGCTACAGCCGTACAGAACAAAGCGCGCGCCCGAATACACCCGAGCCGGGGCAAAAAATTTCCGGAAATTGATTATGACCTGGCCCCGATTCGAACGGGGATGTCCTGCTGACAGTATCATATAGGATTGGCGAAAATATAGCAGGTGTGTTGTCTTACACCACCAGGTCTTGTTCTTTCTATTCTCATCCTATACCCTATGCCTTAATTATAATCACCCAGCATCTGTGTCACACACAGCTAAAGCAAAATTCAGGAAATTCGGAAAGAGCACTGCCTATCGTGTAGACCAACAGTACGTAAAAACACTCACCTGGTCAGTAGAGCTGAACAGAAAAAAGGATACTCTGGCAGTCCGATGACCTGGCCCCGAATTGGATGGGAATCTCCTGCCAAATGGCAAGTGGAGATCGAATAATGTATAGCAGGTGTGTGAACATACACTACCAGGTCTTCCTATTCCCATTCTTGTCCTCCGCTTTATCCAACACTTTTATTAGGTATGCAGGCCTTCCGACTCTCAGTCAGCCTTGGCAGTAATAGTTGAAAGAAATGTCGGGAAAATCGAAAATGCCCGATATGCATTGACTGGGGCATATCAGGCCGCATCAGTCCATCAGGTGAGCACTGGGCCAATAAGGTACAGAAAACCATTATAGCGGTTGATCAGCCTGACCGACCTGACCAGCCTGGCAGAGGCGACCAGACTGACAGAGGCTGATCAGGATGGCGCCGCGGAAGGCCAAAAAATAAAAACAAATGTCAATGATTTACTTACATTACCGCCGCTTCATGTAAGTGTTTGAGTACTACTTACTAGTAGTAGCGGGGTCAGTATGCTATTCTGAAAGTCTGTCACAATTATTAGTGTTAGTAGCAAGAGTCGAACCTACGACGTTCACGTGCATTAACCACTCCACCATGGAAGCCATAGCATCAGCAATCCCTGATTTTTGCCGTATTTGCCGTATTTCCCATATTTCCCAGGCTGTCTATGTAGAGCTACGTATTTGCCCGTATTTCAGGCCATCCTACGTATTTGTCTGTATCACAGGCCATCCTATGTAGTAGCCTGTATTACAGGCGATCCTATGTAGTTGCCTGTATTCCAGGCCATTCTATGTAGCTGCCTGTATTCCAGGCCATCCTACCTAGTTGCCTGTATTTCAGGCCTCCTTGGTAGTTCTCGGTATTTTGAAGTACTGCTTACACAAAAAAAGAATGACCAAATGTGATCACCCGGTTCTTACTCGGTCAAAACCACTTGGGTTTGGGGTAATATACAAGAGGAAATGCATTGGGTCTAGCGTGAGTATACAAATATAGTTGTCATTAATTGTAGCATGTCTACCACGAGGAAGAGACCAGAGAAGATGAGCTGCACATTTAGTCAACCTCGCCACTTCCCACACCCCCTTCCTGCTATCTCTGGCCGTCTTCTTACACATACTAACACCCTTCTCTCCCAATAGGAAGGCATTGACTACACCGGCGTGCATGTTGAGCTTGAGCGTGGGGACAAGGTCCTCCTCCACGAGGCAGGTGGCGCTCCTCTGCGAGGGCACAAGCGAGCTGCTCGGCTTCCTGTGGAGCTCGACGGTGTGTCCGGGGTGTGTGCATGCATCGGGTATATTTTCGATACCCTGCTTGGCTGCAGGGAAGATGAAGAGAGAGCTGGGACGGGGAGGAGGGGAAGGAGGAGGGAGAGATATGGAGATAGGGAAATATGGGAGGGAGGACAATCAGACAGGAGGGAGTGGATGGGATGGGAGAGGCAGGGAATGGAGGGCGTGCGAAATGGACTGTGGGGGCGGGGATGGGGAGGGGAGGGGGGTGGGAGGAAGGCACACCAGCGAGATGCTGCAGGTGGTGCATGCGAAACAACGCTAACAAGGGAAACGGGTGCGTGCTGCCTTTGTGTGCAGGCCGTTGGGGCGAGCGTATGAAGGTGGAGGGGATATTCGGGTAGTGTGAGCAGCTGTGCATGTGGAGGGAGCAATGTGACGACCGTCGGGAATCACCTCAGGTTGGCAATGTATCTAGCTGGAGCCCGGAGGCGAGTGGCATCGAGGCATCGGGGTGTGGAGAAAGGAATATACTCGTCGACGGCCGTGCACCGTGGCAAATATGGGAATATGAGTACGGCGCTGTGGAGGATGGTGTAAAGAAGATGGCCGGTGGACACCCGGGGCAGAGGGACACCATGCGGGGCAAAGTGCATGATGAGAGAGTAGAGCACACTCCTCTGGTGCTTCCAGCCTCCCTGGTGCCACAGCGATGCAGCCATCTGCGACGAGCGAGTCGAGATGATGGATGTGGTAGGGCCACCTCCAGCCTCGAGCAGATCACACACGGAGAGTCCACATACACCCGCTCCGAGTAGGTGTCACAAGTGCAGTGTGCAGGCACCAAAATGAGTGGAGGCAGACCTCACAGAGTCTGCATCCCACCGCGCACAGCGCATGTCTTCACCTCCCCCACGACACCGCACCTCCATCTGCTGTCCTTACTGCCTCTGCGCATGAAAAGATCGCCTTTCTGCCAGTCCTCGATGTGCGCAATGGGACCCGGGGTGGAATCGGAGGCAGCACTGAAGTCGTGCGAGCTCGCAGATGCCCGGACGTGCGCGCAGCCTGTGTCACGCACCACAAGTGCAGCGGCACAGCGGGGTCGCATGGTGTAGCAGCTTCGAGAGGAGAATGTGCATGCGCACATCGAACATGGAAGCAAAGCTATGTGTTGAGTCCAGGGTGCGTGTGGTACAGTAATCCGAAATGCGGATGGAGGTGTGGGCCGGCATCCACACACCATGTAATATACACCAGTAAGGTGGGAGGGGGCGAGCGATCACCCTGTTGGGGTGGAAGATTGGGTGTGCCATGCTGGTAGCATGGTGGCGACAGCTTGGGTGCAAGCAAAAAGAGCATGTTATGGTGTGTACAAAGAAGAGACAAGGTGGAGACACACCATCCGGCTCAATGCTCGGTGCTCAGCCACGAGCCACACATCCTCTGCCCCACACTGCTCCCTTTCCACCGCTGGTGAGATCTGGCAGGTGGCGAGGCATAGGTGTACAACGGGGAGAAGGTGGGTGGGTCACCTTCACCCTTGGCACCGGAACTCGTGGGAGGGATGGTCGGAGGGAACATTGCACGAAAACCTGGGCTTCGAGCGAGTTCAAAACCAATGTGCACACAAACCATCTACATGGCACCTCCCGCATCTGTGTGCACGCCTCCAGCATCGCAACCTGCTCCTCCTCGTCTACATAAAGTAATCAACACGCAAGGACAAGAAAAAAATTATATTGACACACCCTCAGTATTCTGGTACATACCTACGTTAATTGTGGCAGTTAAATCAGCCAGTTCTGCATTTCTTGACAGAGTACCTCGTACCTTGCACGCGCCGTCACTTCAGCTCCATCAAGTCGATTTCTGGTTTGCACTCAGGTTCGGGCTCCTCCTCCTTCTCCCCCTCCTCCAGCATCGCTATTTCTTCTATTGGAGGCTCGTCGACCACCATTGGCTCCGGCGTGCATTGAGAACGCCTCTTCGCCAGGTCCCATTTGACATACGGCGGTGCTGGCGGAATGAGCACATAATCAAAAGCAAGTTTCACAGATCGCGATGGTGGTGACTTGGCTCGTCTTGTGGACGTTGTCGGTGGCGAGGCTGGCCGTGCAGTAGATCATGCCTGTCACGGGCCCCAGCTGCCCAGCTGTGGTGGTCGTATGCCATAAGTGGCAGTACATGGAATCCAGATGTTTGGTCAGGATCCTTGCTGTGCCATGCCCGTGCATAAAGACGAACCATGGCCAAATATTTGGCCCACCTCTCTTTCACCTCAACCACCACCACCACCACCCCTGCTTCTATGTATGTACACCACTGCTCTCCAGACGACTCCAATCCCTCAAGCCCATGACACTGGCAAGCACCAGCACCACAAGCATACTGCGGGACATCCCTGCGCATATACTGCGGCAGCTCACCAACGACCTTGGCTACATACATGGGCTTCGACGCCGTGTGGATATTGCCCGTTGTCAAGAACGTCGACGGACACTGCATACGGAGATGGCTACCACAGGCGAGTACCATCCCATCCAGTCCTCTGTTATGGTATGTGTTGATGATCACGTGCAGGTACTGATCCGCCGACATGGACACACTTAGCCCGATGATCGATGTGCTCTGAACCTATCAAGAAAACACCAACCAAAACCAAACCTACACACAGAAGTGCGTCGGAACGGAACGGAAGTGCTCGAGACGCGCACAGATGAGTATCAGACCCTGGTACAGGGCCTTATAAAAGGTTGCAGGGAATGGTGTAGACCTCGGAAACGAGGAAAGAGCGTTGGGTTGTTTATAGAAGTCCTTGGAACGAAGTCCAAGTACTTGAGCCTTGTTCTGAGTGAACCGGAATAAAACCGGAACAGACAGAAAAGCTATTGGGACGCAACGAGAATGTCGATGCATATGGAACCCTTGCTGTACAAGTGTTCTGGCTAGAGCTGATTGAACGAGGGTAGACTCGAACAAACAGGAAGCACAGTAGCGCGGTGATGTAAAGCTTCGCAGCTATGAAAACAAACGAGAACGAGTTGCTGGGGTTCTCCAAAGCGAGGTGGATGCCGATTCCGAGCGTGACACAGTAATAACAGTAGTGGGTTCCGATCCCAAGCACTCCAGACAGTGGTGGGTTCCGATCCCAAGCTCTTCACAACACAACCCAAAGAACCAAGTGCGTACTCAGCACAATCCCAACAGTTCCAGTCACTTTCAGACTATTCCAGACGAACGGCAAAGTCGGATCCCAAGGATACCGATAACAAATAAAAGATTCCAAGCCAAGATGAATTCCAAGAGACACCTTGTTCGAACTCCCCGGTATCTGCCCAATTCGCAAGTGTTTCCGCCTACTAGCCGTGGGGTGATTCCGTGAAGTCGCCCAAGATGCCCCTGCTACTAAATACAAACACCTGAAACACATGGAAACATCCGAGAATAAGTAGGTATGAGTAAAATAGTCCGTTTATCAGTCCGACTTCCGTGTATCCGTCGTAAGAATGGGTATCTGAGTCCTTCCATTGGCTGCCCATGTTGAGCACGCCATCCTGGTGCGATCCTGAGCACATGTACGATCGGTCAGACTGTGCCTAAGCCATCACAACTGATCCCCTATGTCGATCCTGACTGTATACGTTGTTCCTCCCAATGCCCGTGCCCTCCCGCCTACCGGAACGTCTGGAACAGAAGCCCCTAGTCCGTAGCTCTTCAGGGGTACTGCATTCGAAGTACTTCCCAGTATGGATACTTGTTCCAAGAGCCGACGAGTGTAGGTCCAAGTGATCAGACCCTCGCTTAGTGACCATCCCTTATCCGGAATGCCCGGGATGGCATGGAACCATCAAGATGTGATGTCCCCAGCCCCTTCCAGTGATCATCTGATCAGAACGTGTTACGCGTCCTATGTCCAACACACCACAACAGGATTCCAGTCCGTCCCGTTTAGTTCTGTGAGCGGGAATAGAGTAGACTTCATGTTCTACTTGATTGTTGGGCTACACATCTCCTACAGGTTTCGGAGCGAGCACATGCCAATGGTTCCAGAGTATTCCTCCCTGTTCCCATCCGTTAATCAGTGGTTCCTGCCCTGCCAGCTATTTGGGAACCTCAGTACTGACGCTTCTGGAGCGTATCCCAGCACATGTCTTGTCATGAAAACGCGAAAAAGCGAAGATTTCATGGGTGGACAAATCCCGTGCTTATCACCGCACTTTGGCCCCTCAACCGAACTGAAGAACCTCAGCAAGGCACTCCTTTTGCATGGGATGTACTTCACAGCATGATTTTTTTTTGGGCTGGGTATATGGCATGTGTCGGGGTTTTTGCATTGGGCGAGGTATGTACATCCGTGTCATCATTGTCGCTTATGGCACAGAACAGGGCTTTTACTGACCAGTTTTCCTCAGGTGGAGACAGATGAATCGGTCTATGCCATGTGCTATCTTGACCTTCTCGACGCCGTGATCAACTACCCAGCCTTCCACAACCTCGCCCTGCCTTCTCAAGCACCTCAGGCAACCTCTCTAAGTTCGCCTCTGTCCCTGCGCTGCCGGGCCTCGCCTCGTCCTCCTCTGTGTCCTTTTCATCCTCACCTCCACCACCTCGTTCTCTCCAATTTTGCCTCTGTCCCTGCACTGCCAGGCCTCACCTCATCCTCCTATGTGTCCTTTTCTCCTCACCTTCACCACCTTGTTCTTGGCATCGCCTGCACCCCTTCTCCTCAGCACCGCCTTCCTTGAGAACCACACCTCCACCACCTTGTTCTTGGCATCGCCTGCACCCCTCCTCCTCAGCACTGCCTTCCTCGAGAACCACGACAAAATGTGCTTCCCTTCGCTCACCATGGACGGCACGCTGCGCAAGAACGCAATGGTGGAGCTCTTTGTGGGCGATGGGATCCTGACTTAGTATTATGGCCAGGAGCAAGGAATGAGGGCAGCAATCCAAGGTATGTGTGATACCCTTTGTCTCTGTTCTAGGCTGACGGCTTCATGTCACATGTAGACTTGGCTTGTTCCATGATTTCAACCTGGGTGCATGCATTCTTTCACATCCGCTTCCTGTTTCATTGGGTAGTCCGAGCACCTGTTGTTGTATGTAGTAGCTTTAATATCATGGTTTTCCAAATTCTACGATGCTGTGTCGATTTTGTGGTCTGTTCAGGGATACTGGAAGCATTTTGCAAGTGATTGTGAGGTCTGCATCAAATACAGGTAAATACATTGAATACAGGCAAATACAGCAAATACGGGCTCAAATACGGTGAAATACAGGGCACTACGTAGGCCAGGCCGAAATACGTGTGAATACATAGACTGGGCCGAAATACGTGTGAATACGTAGACCAGGCCGAAATACATGTGAATACGTGCAGGGGGACCTTCATACAGGGAATACAGGACCTATGGGAATACGTAGGCTACGTAGAGGTACGTACCCGACCCAGGTATAGCTGATGCTAGTGTTACAAAGAGCTCCACGCAATATATACATGAGTCTCTGTGCCTGATCAGCGCTGACAGGTGCGCATCAGCCGATATCATTGCTTTCAGTGGGGAGCCTGCGGATTCATGGAAAAAAAGTCGAGAATGTTCTTGCATTAGAGAAGTAGAATACTAGGTGAGACATCGAATTCGAGGAGGGGGAAGGAACACTCGCTGGAAGGCGCTGACAAACATGCGCATATAATTGTCTCTTTAACTTCTGCCCCACTATTTCTCACCCGCTCGCCGCCCCTTTGTTGGAGATTAAGCGGGGAGAGCGAAATTAGAGCAAGAGATAAGGTAAGTTTGCAATAGCACTGATGGTTAGAAGACTGCTTTAGAGCAAACAGATGCTCTAGCAGGATTTTACAATGAGCTTATATACTACAGAATATGTATCTAGAAGGTTCTCCATGTATCTACTTGAACTGTCTATTAGTAATAATCTTATCAATCCATGCCCGAAGGCCGAGCTGCATTATTAATCCCAACACCCTTCGTCCTCGTCGTCGCCTCGGAAGTCTTCTCTAGTACTCTCGGGATCGTCCTCCACCGGCCGCTCCGCTTGAATTGCCTCCATGGCCCGTTGGTACCCGTCGCTCTTGCCGCGGCCCCCACCTTGCTCTGAGTCGACATCGCCGGCTGGGGCATTCGGGAACAGGATACGATCCCACTCCGAAAAGACATGCAAGATGCTGGGGCTCTTGTTGCGCAAGCCAGCTGTCAGGATGCCGAGATATTCGTCGAAACGAGCGGCGTAGTCGATATTCGTGTGATCCCCACGTGGATCAAACGTGGATGCAAGCAGACGTCCATGGATTTGCCCCAAATGGCCTGAAATCAGGTTACTGTCTCGTCCTCGGTGTACTGGATCCCAACTTACCAGGACACTAGACGCCGCGATGGCTCCGGGCTCTGTGCGCACAATCCGATGGATGCGCTCCATGTTGTCCGTTTTGGGGATAGTGGAAATGTCGCCGCCGCCGCTACTAAGCATCACGACGGCTGCGTTGGGCCCGCGGATAAGCGCTGCATAAAGCTAAGCAGATCTGTGGTCAGTTACTCGATTTTCATTCGAGCGCCAAAAATTACTTACCCGCATCAAGACGGGATTTAGGAAGCATGTATGGATGTCGTACTCCGCAGATCCGTTCTTGTGGAGGATGGGGACGTCTAGAGCGGCGTACGCACCCGTCTGGCTGTCAATGACTACTCGTTATTGCTCATGGACTACGTGGTTCGTGGTGCACTATTGACTCCAGTAGCAGAGAAGGGCAGAGGAAACTTGCATTTCTTGGTAGATACCATAGATTCCGACATGTTCCTTCGGGCTGATAAATATTAGCCTGAAACAATTAATATTTTCTGCCATTCTGTATTTGCATCCTGACATTGGTTGACCAAGACTGATAGTCCTTACCGTGAAGTCTGACAGGTGGCTAATCAGGCCTGACCAGACCGTCAGGCGCGGTCAGCCCCTGATCAGCAAAATCCGATTTTTCCGACAAAAATATCTTGCAACGATATGACCTGACCCCGAATCGAACGGGGATCTCCTGCCAATTATGCGTATATCTTCCATTTATGCATAGCAGGTGTGTTGCTATACACCACCAGGTCTTTTCTCCCTCTTCTGTTCCCCACTGTTATTTGGAATGCCTTCCTGACGGACAATGGACAAACACAAAGCTAACCTGGGCACGCACCTCCTCCTAGTCAGTTTAACGCCAGGAAAACGAGGGGACGCTATTGGCGTCCTCACACTCGAAGGTGTATTTTCTATCTAGCCATTGCACTGCAGTCTTTCTAAACGCAACCATCTGTCGTTGTTCCCTAGACATCATTGCGGAGATTCCCCCGGAGGAGATCGCAGATGAGAAGGACCGGTATGAGGACAACGCGACCAAGCAAATGGCCACAAGAATGACAAGAGACTCTTTTATGCGAGAGTGCGTGTGGAACTCAATTTTTTTGCTCCCTGCCTTCGTCTTTCTTTTCTTCACCGACTGCAGATTGCTGTAATCACTGTTCATACTTTTTCGCCCTTCACTTTCCTTTCCATGATCCCATTCTGTTCAGTTCCCCTACACTCTATACCTATTGCCGCCCGTGTATAAGCGTTGACATTCTGACTTGACTCTACAGCCTAGTCGAGCTGCATCAGCGTGGTCTACCCGTGTCTGTATCTTCCGCCGACTGCACACCGGTCATCATGAACGTCGTACCATCGCTCACTAGGGAGCGCATGTGGCATTAACCAAATCCCCGGTTCGAGTTCTGTAACGGGTACACCTTCGCATCCATCTTTTTTTCAACCGCATCACCCCGATATAGTAATCACATCAATCCCTCGTCCCTCCCTATCCTCGCCATTTCTTTATCCTATCTACTCTATTACCCATTCAATCCCTTCGTCTTTGACGTCACCCTCGTACCTCGACCGATTACCCGTTCTATTCATTCCCTCACTCATCCTATTCTTGCACCGATCCATCTCCATTCCACTCCTATCCCGTAGATACTTATAAACGCCGCATGTATGTCGAATACTTCAGTCAATCGACTATCTACCCCAGTTACTTTTTGTCTGAACTCGAAACTCGTATGCCGGGATCCAGCCGTCTGCTCCCTGTCACAAGTTCATAGCGAGATAAAGTTCGAGAAGTTTTCTGAATTATATAATTCACCGGGGCTGTTCTCTTGCAACACCGGAAACCAAATCCAGAGCAACTGATCCCCTGGTAATGAAATACAGGCATCAGACAAACTGACTACGTGAACATCCTGTTGTATCCGTGAAAAAATACGCGACAGACACAACTCGAGCGATCCACAGCTACCACCCCTGAAAGGACTCTCCCGAGGACATTCAAAAAGATTCTGAGGAAGTATTTGGATTGTATGCAATCAGTGTCAGGCCGTATCGACGTCAAGTTCAGTGTTTCCACGCGATATTCCTTACTCCCTTTTGCACGGCCTACTCACAAACGAACACCGTCCCATTGAACACGCTCCGCATGAGATACCTGCAGTGTGTTCGCGTCGCATTGGCAGTATCGGAGCCAATGATAGTGGCCGGTGCAATCCCACCTTCCACCCAGTCGACCATTGCCAACAATATATTATGAGACGAGTCGTTGACGAGGTTGAGGCCATTTGATTGCCCAAATGAGGTGGGATCAAGCCCTCCTGCGCAATTCCCCATCCCTGGAATGAGAAACAGGCGGTAGAAGTCATTGAGAAGCGGTAACGAGAGGGTGTGCGATATAAGATCGTACACGCGCTTGGAGTTTGTTGACGAGATGAGCTAGGATGCTCTCTTTCGGAGAGGTACGATGATGGCAGTCAAGACACGGTTCGACTCAGCACGCGAAGTCCGGGACCGGGAGATACTTAGCGCTGCAGTAAGATCTAGAGGTGAGATCTGTGCGATGCGTGAAGTCCATGAGATGCGCGAAGTCCAGAAAACAAAATAGATCGTCGAGTTGCATCTTTGTGTTTGTGCCGCACCGTGCGTGAAATTCGTGGTGTAGATACAAGTAGGCAAAGCTAAGCTGGATGATGCGACGCCGGGTCTGTGCTGAAGTCGCGGTGAGACGCAGGCCGCGATGCGATATGGAGATGAGAGGAGGAACGGCTGCGCAACAGCGGCATGCGTTGAGGAGATGCGAGAACAAATGGGTCGTCCCAAATGAATCTAGCCAGCCAGCGAGGCGACTCGGAGTCTCGGACGCGTGGATTGATCGAGGTAAGGCGCAGCTCGGTGTGGATCGAGAGCGGGATGGAGAAGCGCGAAGCGGCCATCGGGGGACGAGCTCAAGACCAAGCTTGAGCTCAGTATCGCAAGAACCCTTAATATGGATCCACGACCGAAGCCCAGCCCCGATCGCATATGGGCAGCATGCAGCCAAGGCTCGACGCCCGCCACACGAACGTCCTCCCTGTCCTGGCGCCTGTCTTCCCTTTGCCTTGCTGCTGGCGCAACAGCTGCGTCGCCACCAGTCTAGTGCGGACATCTCCAGCGCTGCGCTGCTGCTGCCAGTGCTTCCTCCCAAGCTGCAGCGTGCGTGCGTGGCGGTGATGATGAAGCGCAAGGGAGTAGGCGGCGCAGGCGTCGATAGTGGGAGGTCCACGCCTTCGTTCCCCAAAAGAAGGACTGACAGCGCGCACGCCGGGGGTACAATACCCCTAGAAAACCGCATCGGGGAGGATGCGCGCAGATGGTGTCCGTTGTTGGGGACGGAGATGCGTGCTACACATGACTTCGGCGTGTAAGCATGGTGCGGCTGCTCGAGGCTCAATGTGTGCGCGCGAGGGTGTCACCATGGTTCGGGATCAGGGCTCGGGTCCCCGCAGCAGGAGGCGTCGTCGGCATCAGTCAGGAACGGCACCAAAGACGCAAATTCAGACAAAGGGAGATTCAGCGTCGGGAACAATAAAGGGATGGTGCCGGGGCTAGTCGCGACACACCCAAGGGAGAGAATACAGGTAGGAGGCGGTTTTCGGAGGGAGGAGGCGCTGGAGGCGTAAATGAGTGTGGTGTTTCGGATTCGTCGACGACGCCGCGTCGTGGGGGGCGCACAGTTCGACGAGTTGAGGAAAGGAGCTTTTAGTTGCTTTGTGCAAGAATCAGATGGCACCGATATGGCCATTTGTACTGAGAACGAGGTAATGCAAAACAGAGAAAGGCGGGAGACTACAAGGTCGAGTTGATGTCATATTAATGGCAATGATGTCAGAAGCGTGTCGCAGCTGGAAATCGCGATCAGGTGACCGTTAGCCTTTAGACTTTTGTCCAGCGTGCACAGATCGGGATGGTAGAACAGGATAAATTCATGTACCAGGTAAATCTTGATAAAAAAAATTGACTCGCTGTATAGACCCATCCTCCGCCTCATCATTACTTACAGCCAGAGTAATCCTCCTTCAAAGTTTGATACAACCACAGCATGGACATGGCAACCACTCAAGGTCTATATACTTCTCGCATTTGTGGGACTCATTCTGTACATCTGCTATTGCAGCTGGAGATGGACAGGGGAAAAATCTAGCCCTGCTTGATTGATAGTATGACTTGCTCAAATTAGGCAAGTCGCACTCCACTCTGTCCGAACCGCCATTAGGGGCCTTCCTTTCCGGGAAGAGCACAGCCATCCTGCCGGCGGCTCAAGAGGCGGAGCTCGAACTTGAAGCCGTGGTGAGCTGCATGCCAAACAAGTGTCCTTCCTCATCCTCTCTTCATGATACCCACGACCACGACCATTATGCCTCTGTTCACAAACCACCACACCATGCACATCAACACCCACCGCACCCTCTGTCCAGAGCCGCTCTGCCCTCAGTTCCGGTCTGCTGCCTGCCAATGCCAGCACAGCAGCAACCAAGGAAAGTACTACGTTGCGGTAAGTTGCAACGTGTTTTCTTTCTCTGCCTTTTCTTCCTCTCGCCCTGTTCTAGCTTTTTCTATCCAGTGCTTCAAAAAAAGCCCATGGGCCCCAGTATAAATTCTGGGACCTTGGCATGCACCCTTGCAACACTCTACCTCCCGCCCAGCAGAACATTGCTCATCAGAACACCGCTCCACCTCTCACTCCGCCTCCCTCTACGCAGATGGCCACTGCAAGACCCCCTCCCTGCCCGAGTGCCAAATGCCTTTCCTGTACACACCCAGGAAATGCGCAGGGTGTGATGCGCCACTGCAAGGTTTGCTGTCATGGCCTTGCGACCTCACATTGCAAGATTCACGAGACCCGGCCACCCACCCCACCAGCACTCACCAAATCCTCGACACCGGTCTTGCTGAAGCTGCTGCCGCCTTCCCAGCCCTGCTCCGAGCGCAAACTCGCTTTTTGCACCAACAAACTCAGCATGTTCCAGAATTTCTACACTTTTACCTTCAGCTGACTCATCTTAGGTGACAGATGAAGAATCAAGCCTTGTTACCCACTACACTAAATTGCTGATATAAAATCGTTTTGTTTCCCAGCTCATACCCAGACCTAGGGCAGGCAAGCTGCCCTAGGTCTTCGATAGTTGTTTGGCACCGCTTATTTTGTGTTTTGGTGTGTTTTAGACCCAAACCAACCTAACCCAAACCTAGCAAACCCTAACCAACCTAACCTCCTAATCAAAAAATAACAATGTTCCCAGGGCCCCTAACCACCTAACCACTAACCCTAACTCTAACCCCTAGCCACTAACCCTAACTGGCCTAACCAGGCCCTATGCGGGCCAGCACAGGTGAGGGAACAGCTTATTGTATGTTGGCAAGACTACAGTACATTCCTATCACTTCAGGCTGCTATCACTCCCTCTTAGCTCAGTTGGTTATAGTGCATCAGATAGCTTTTATTATATAAGCCAGCTGGCTTGCTCTGGGTTCAATTCCCACTATTACCTTTTGCTATTTAAATTAAACCATTAGCCTATTTTCTTGGCTCTAGCCATGCATGGCTAGTGTCGTGGCTTGAGATAGTAGGTTTCCTTGGCTAGCTCCATCCCCAGAGCCTAAATCCTCCAGCCACAGGTGGGAAGCGTGACCTTGGCAGCTGACCTGTCCCTCCCCGGCCTTATTCCCACCATGAACAGCCCCAGCTCTGAGCTGAACACAATTACGCAGT